CGGCCCCAAGCGCTCCCGGCCCCCGGCGCTCGAGGAGCGGCTGAGCCGGCGGCGGACGGCGCAGGAGGCCCGCGCGCTGCTGCGCTGCCGCCGGGCAGGTGCGTGAGGGCCTCGGGCTGCCTGCGGAGCCTCCGGTGCTCACTGCCCTTTGCTCACTGCCCTTTGCTGTCTTTTAAACCAGGCATTCCCGCGCCCGTGGTCTACTTCGTGGACTACGTCACCAACTGCATCTACCTGGAGGACATCGTGGGCTCCGTCGCGGTCCGAGACCACATTGACTCCGTGCAGCAGCGCGGCGGCGACGCCGGCAGCCTCCTCCCCCTCGGCGAGAAGCTGGGCGCGCTGCTGGCCAGGCTGCACGACGAAGACCTCATCCACGGGGACCTCACCACGGCCAATATCCTCCTGCGCCCGCCCGTGGAGAAGCTGGACTTGGTATTGATAGACTTCGGCCTCAGTTTTGTTTCAGGCCTTCCTGAGGATAAAGGAGTTGACCTGTATGTGCTGGAAAAGGCCTTTCTTAGCGTTCATGCTGAAGTAGAAACTGTGTTTGAAACTCTGCTGAAGACCTATGCAGCTACATCAAAAAAGTCCGGTCCTGTTATCAAAAAGCTGGATGAAGTGCGGCTACGGGGCAGGAAGAGATCCATGGTTGGCTAGGAGAGAGCAGTGATGGAGAAATATTACCAGTTAGGTTCTGTAAACATGTTTATTTATACTTCCAGTTGGTTTTATTCCATAGATGGATATTTTGATAATGCAGTATCTTAAATAAATTTACTACATGTGGTGGTAATCTTTGTGTAATTTCTTAACACAGTCAAACAGTAACAGAAGTATTTATGAAAGATGAGAGCTCAGGCTAGAAACAGACAGCTAAAGGCTACTTTCCTAAATGTATCATTTTTTTAAAGCATCTTGCAGCGTCATTCTGCTGTTGTGTGGATATTGTTGTGTAGATAGAATCACAGTGAATAATCTCTAGGCTGTGGACTGCACGTTGATGTTTCCTAATGCTAAAGGAGCGTGGGCAGGGCGTTCTAGGAGCAAAGCAAAGGGAAGGAGCTCCTCTCTCTGCTGCTCCTCTCTCTGCTGCTCCTCTCTCTGCT